AAACCCGCCCGGCCGCACCGCTCCCCGCCCCCACCGGGCCCCGCGCGCCTCCCCACCCCCAAACTCCCAAACTCGACCCTAAAACTCTCCTCTGCTCAGCTCTTGGCCCCAAACATTTCTCCTCAGGTTCTCGCTTCCACCAAGAAGTCTCTCAAAACCTTCCCTCCCCCTTCAAAGGAAAAATCTCCAACTCCAAAAGAATTCTCAAGGTCTCTCTCCAAAGATCTCCCTTTCCGAGCTCCTTCTCCGAAATTCCGCTCAAACTCTACCCCCACCTCAACTCCACAACCCCCCAACCCCCCAGCCCTCGCCGGGGTGCGCCCGCCGGTTCTGCCCGGTCACCACTGAGTGCCCCGACCCCTTGGCGGAGCAGGCCGCCTCCTCCGGGCGCCCTCCTCTCTCCGCCCGCCCGCCCGCCCGCCCGGCCTCCCGCGCCGCGCTCCCGCCACCTCCCCGCAGACTCCTCACCTCGGCGGCTACGGCCCGCGCTCCCGCCCGCCAAGGGCTCCGGCGCTCGGCTCCCGGCGGCCGGCGCCTCCTCCGGCTCCCAAGACTGACAATGAGGGGCGGAGCCAGAAGGTGACGTCAGCGTCCTGGAAGGCGGGGTCTTTGTGGGGGCGGACCTCCCGCCCCTTGTCTTCTCCCCCTTCCCGGGACTTAAGACTTTTCCAAGTTTTTATCGCCTGTCTAGCTAGGTGCCCAGGTCCTGTGCTACGCGCGGTGGAAAACCGAAATGGAAGACAAGACGTCCTGCTTTCATAAGGGGCACTCTCAGGGGATTGTGGGATTAAATGAGATAATCCATGTAAAGGTATTTAGCCCAAGGTCTAGTATGGAGTAATCTCTCAAAAAATATTATTTCTATTACTCAGCAAAGTGTGAAAAAGGAACTCAGCTTGAACTCAGGAGGCATGGGTTCCAGTCCCCAGCTCTGCTATTAATTCCATGTGTGATCCTAGACAAGTCCTTTGCCATCTATGTTCCCTCCTTTTGCCTTCTTTAAAATGGGAAGGGGCAATGACCAGATGATTTCAAAGGGCCCACCAATAATTCTATGACATTTTCCTGTGGACCTACTATGTGCAAGGTACCTAGAGCCCAGAGAAGGGAGGGGGGGCCTTTGAAGAGAGCCCAAGACCCAGATCCAGCATGGTACAGAACACAGCTCTAGACACTCTCCCCTCAGATGCCCTTCCACATACTGACACAGGGTTGCATTCACAAGCCCAGACACAGATGCACTGAGGGCTGCTTCCACTTTGACTGCAGCAGCATAGCTGGTCTCTTGAGATATCTCTTGTGTAAGCTCCTTATTGCCTATGGAATAAAGGCCAAATGCCTGGCCTGGTGTGATCTCTTCCTACCTTTACACACACACACAGACACACACACACACACACACACACACACACACACACACACAAAGTTTATCCAAACTTCCCCTAGCACACCCACTGCTTTCCCACATCTGCACATTGCTCATGCTCTTCCCTTGCTGTCTCTTCTCAGTTTACAACTCTTCCTAGTTTCCCCCAGCCAGAAACTGACTCTCCCTGCTCTGAATACCCATGGCATTGTGTTAACTCTCATGTGGGCATGAACACATTTTAACTTGTGTCAAACTGACCTCCCCTTTGTTTCTTAGCACTTCCTCACTTCCTTGAGGTCAGAGCCCACACATGTTTGTGGAGCTCAGGTTCTGATGCCAGAAAACCCTGGGATTATATACCCGTGTTCTGGCCCATACTAGCTCTCTTTGAGCCTCATTCTCCTCATCTGTAAAATGGGCACATTAATACAGTCCTTGTGGTGTTCGGTTTAAAATTACATAAGACACTGTGTGGAAAGCACCAGGCACAGTTTTCTACAAATGATGTACCTGTCATTCTTATTTTCATTCATTTTTTTTTTTTTTAATTTATTTTTGGCTGTGTTGGGTCTTCGTTGCTGGGCGCGGGCTTTCTCTAGTTGCGGCGAGCGGGGGCTACTCTTCCTTGCGGCGTGCAGGCTTCTCATTGTGGTGGCTTCTCTTGTCGCGGAGCACGGGCTCTAGGCACATGGGCTTCAGTAGTTGTGGCATGTGGGCTCAGTAGTTGTGGCTCACAGGCTCTAAAGCGCAGGCTCAGTAGTTGTGGCGCACAGGCTTAGTTGCTCCACGGCATGTGGGAACTTCCCGGACCAGGGCTCGAACCCATGTCCCCTACATTGGCAGGCGAATTCTTAACCACTGAGCCACCAGGGAAGCCCTTCATTCTTATTATTATTATCATCAATATTATTTCTAGTTCCTAACACCAGATAGCATCCCTAGTGATAATCCACCTAATCATTTCATAGTGGAAGACTTTGAGGTGCTGAGAGAGGAAGAGGCTCACTGAAAGGGGCCCTGCAGAGCATTGCCATTGGAATAGAAACTGCAGTTTCTAGACCCCAGGTGGATTCTGCAGAGTCACATCTGATACCCCAGAGTGTCTCTGTCACTCAGCAACCCTCCAGGCTGGGGACGCCTTCGAGTTCTCATCCTTTGCAGCAGAGCTGACCCGGTTCTCCCTTGTGCCTCTCTCCTTTCGTTTTCCTTACAGAGAGATGGATCTGTGTTAAACTGCCCTTGGCAACTCAGCAGTCTTCTAGCAGAACTGCAGCAAGGCACTGGGTGTTTCCAGAGTGCTGGCCTGTGGGAAGAGGGAAAGGGCTTTGGGGTTCTGATTAATTTCCTGCGAGGGGGGACAGGAAAATGGCTGTTCTGAATTGCCTGAGCTGGTCCTCAAGAGCCCCTAACAAATCGCAGCTTATTTCTAGAATAAGAGATTTAAAAATTCAACTTCACATGAAAGGAAGGCATGGCCACAGGATTGCTGCAGGCAAAGAAAGGGCCGTTACTGAGTCCCTGCTATGTGCTGATTCCAAGCATTGCAGACACTTGGAAGAGAGAACCCAGGACATACAGGGGAGGTTCTGAAGACAGAACCTTCTCTCTGGGACCCATGAACTGATCAGCCACTTATTCATTCATTCAGAGCAAAAGCTTTGGCACAGGACAGATCAGGATTCAAATCTCAGCTCCATTACTTACCAGTTTGTGACCTTGGGCTTGCAAGTCTCTGCACCTCAGTTTCTCATCTGAAAAATGCGAATAATGATAGTATTTATTTCATTCAGGGGCTGTGAGGATCAAATGAAATAACATGTGAAAGAGCTTAGTTCAAAGCCTGGCACCTAGTTCATGCCAGGATATGGTGGCTGCTGTTACTATTCCAACATGGCCTCCCAGTAAGGCCTCTCATGTGCTGGCCTCTGGACTGGAGGTAATAGTCCCAACCATAAGAAGCTCATTTGGTAAAAGGAATGGAATCGATTTTCATGAATAGGCAAGAAAAGGTGTCTACTGGGTATTGTTAAATTAAAAAAAAAAAAAAAGAGTCAAGAATAAGTTGCAGGGCTTCCCTGGTGGTGCAGTGGTTGAGAGTCCGCCTGTTGATGCAGGGGACGCGGGTTCGTGCCCCAGTCTGGAAAGATCCCACATGCCACGGAGCGGCTTGGCCCGTGAGCCATGGCCGCTGAGCCTGCGCGTCCGGAGCCTGTGCTCCGCAACGGGAGAGGCCACAACAGTGAGAGGCTCCCCCCCCCCCACAAAAAAAAAAAAAAAAAAAAAAAAAAAAAAAGAATAAGTTGCAGAATTACAGAGGTAGTAGGATCCCGTAATTATAACTTATATGCTTAGTATATGCATTACAAAATGGAGAATATAGGAAACTAAATACGATGCCTTCACCTTTGTCCCTTTCTTTTTGTTTTGCGTTTCTTTGTGTGTGTGTGTGTGTGTGTGTGTGTGTATAGCAGGAATTTTCAAAAAAGATTCTACTGAATGCTAAGAGGGAGAAAGAGGATGAAGACACAGCTACAAGGTGTATCATCAATGGGCATCTGAACCAACTGTTCATATCCATAGAAAATTCTACAGGTTCCATCTCATTCTTCATGGCATTCCAGGGAAAGCCCCAGCCCAGACAATTCTCATCTTCTCACGTCTCCCCAGCCCTTAGCTGCACTTGAACTTTCAATGGTATAGCCAGAGGCAAGACTCTGAACAGAACTCCCAGGAACCATAGCAAGGCCAGTAGGAGAGACCTTTAAACAGGAAGAATCTTTTTTTGCTCCCTGTCCTGTGCCCCATCCCCACCTCCCAAGGAGTAACAATCTGACAGCATCTTGTGGCTACAGTGCCTAAACCTGTCTGCACTTTCATTTCTCCTCATTATATCTTTCTGCAATTTAAATTTTTTTACAAGGAGGATGTATTACTTGGTCATCAGAAAAGAGGCAGTAAAGATGTATATAATAAGAAAGCTAACCAAGCCCGTGCTGGTTCACTTTTGTTGGTTTCCAAACAATAAATTAGAACAATGTGGTTGAGGCCAATGCTTAAGCCTCACAGGAATCATAGAAAGTAAGAGTGGGAAGGGATAGACTCACCCTCAGTTTCTCCTACCACCCCCCAAATGGCATAATTTTAAGTCCTCTCACATTTCAGACCACCCACCAACACATGTATTTCATTCATTCATTCAACAAACACTTATGGATTCTTTACTATAAGCCAAGCATCATATAGGTTATGAAGGTCATTATTCCTATCTTGCAGATTAGAAAAACAAGACTCAAGGAGGTAAAGTAAACTGCCCAAAGTCTCACATCTATTGGGATCTAAACCAAGACCTTCACAACATCAAAACTCAATTCCTAAAGGGTGAGGGCTAAATTCCAAAGTGAGTGCGCTGTGTACTTAGGCAGCCATGATTGCTGGGTGGCCTCGGGCAAGTCACTGAACTCTTCCCAGCAGCAGTTTCCCCATCTCTGTGGAGTAAGGACATACCTGCATATTCTATGTAAGTTAAGCACTTTGTAAGTTATAACACATAATTCAAAGGGAAGTCATTATATCAGCTCTTCTGAGACTGATTCTCACTCATCTTTGGATCTCTTGGTGCTTTCCCCATTAGTGTTTATCCCGATTAATGTTTACCCCCGATTAACCCATTTAGGACAGTCTTCCTTGCACAAGCTCATATTATACCCCCCACTAGCCTGGGACCTCCTCGAGGAGTGGAACAATGCTTATTCATTTCTAATTCCTTTCTGCCCCTAGTGCAGTGTCTGGCAGTCCCTCCATTCCTTCACTCTTTTATTTATTTCATAGCAAATTGCTGAGAGCCTAACATGTGTTAAGACAGCAAAGGTCCCTGCCTTCTTAGACCTCAAGACTGGTGGGGTGGAGAGACAAGAAAATATTAAGCACAGTTAATTACTTCATTAATTAACTGCATTAAATCTCACAAAGTGGGACTTCCCTGGTGGCACAGTGGTTAAGAATCCACTTGCCAATGCAGGGAACATGGGTTCAATCCCTGGTCCAGGAAGATCCCACATGCCATGAAGCAACTAAGCCCGTGAGCCACAGCTACTGAACCTGTGCTCTGGAGCCACAACTACTGAAGCCTGGCACCTAGAGCCCGTGCTCCGCAACAAGAGAAGCCATTGCAATGAGAAGCCTGCACACCGCAACAAAG